CCCCAAAACCCCAAAACCCCAAAACCCCTTAGAGTAAATTTAAAATAGGATTCAGAAATTAATATAATTATTATGTCAAGTTTGAGAAGCTCAAGATCTCCAAGTAAGTTTATCTCTTATCTTAGGTCCAAGGAAACCTTATATGATGGATAGTCCTTTAAGGAACCTCAGTAAATTCATACCAGAAAATATCAAGTCACATTTTGAAGGCAAGATAACTCAAAATGCCTGTATCAAGATATTTGATAGACAATCTACATTATCAGATTTCCCCTCACTGGAATCAAGTCCCAAATAAAATGATGTTTACATCAAGCAAGAAGGTAATTGAGGATATTATACCAAGATTCCCTCTAAAAGAATCAATAAAGAAGAAATTCGAGAAAGTCAAGAGTAAACGGTATCAAAAATTATCTCGACATTCTATTAAAGAGAAAAAGAGGTCAAGTGAGTGAATTTAAGGAAGTATCATACTGTTTCTCCAATTTTGAATATTTTCATTTTAATCACTAATTTAGTGCCACCCATCCGTCCAATAGAAGGTAGCATTAGCTACCCCTACAGTGGAGAGAAAGTTGTTGAGAAACTTAAGAAAAATCTTCAAAAATTCAGAGACACTCAAAACAGAAGCCATAATGACATGCATCAGGAGTGATGAGAGAAGAAGATCAAGATAATTACCCCGATTAAGGGTCTAACTATCCTTAAAAAGGGCAAAATGAAGAATCTGAGGTAGGCTTTGAGTTACCAATTTATAGTCAAGTCTCAAATGTTATCCAAAACTGAGTCCTATCCATCGATACATCAAGATATCTTAATTTACCATCAGTACATCACTTTCCTAAAATGAGGAAGGAACAGAAAAATGGACCTATAGAAGCAGAAATCCTTAAAAATGAGGAGAAGAATAAGAAAACTGATGGGAAAAAGCACCGAAGGGCTAAAACCCGTATCTATAGGACAAGCGACAGGTATCTATTCTATTTTGATATTTTCATAACTTTTAGCTATGAGAGCTCCAGCTCTGAAGACATTGATTACGATAAGAGATATAAGTAAGCTATTAGGGATTTAATCTCTCCAACTCTCTCCTATTTCCCTCTTAGGGGTTCTTATTCGAAATCTGCCCTATCTTAGGAACAAATTTGACCTATAAATGTAGAGAAATTTTGAGAGCAAACAACAAGAATAGGGATGAATTCGATGATTTATTGATATAAAATTCAACTCTTCTCAACACTTAGGGGTTTTGGGGTTTTGGGGTTTTGGGGTTTTGGGG